GCTATTTTTCTATTTTTCCAATTTTGCTTTCAGTAACTTTGACTCTACGAGCTGAAACATTTCAAGCATTTTTATAACATCCGTTGGGCAAAAGCTTATAACTTACGTAAAAATAAATCGTTCTTTTACAACGTATTTTTTACATGTTAATATACTATGTACATATTACATATAGTGTTTTTTTTCACACTATAGTATCTAAAGCAAAGCTTTTTATGCTACCGAGTTATAGGTATGCTCATTTTGGAGGGAGAATCTCAGTAAAAACTAAAATTATACTCAGGTCTAACGTCTTATCGTTGAGAACTTGTATGGAAATCAACTTTATTGAGTGAAATTTATCATCTGAAATATAATTTATAATTTTCGATGAACTCATCTTGTTTAATTCTTTTCATCTATATCTATACATATAATAAAATTGTAACCAAGCCGATTTTTGGAAAATCTTATAGAAATAAACATTATTATCGATACAGAGGTCGAATCTATAGTTTTAAGAATTTTTGTCGGTTTATCTGTCTGGGAAAGCATCACGAGAAAATATCTCATTTCTGAGAAATCTATATTATTATACTAAACGTTAAAACGTAACTGGGGACGAACCCGCGCAGAGCGAGGATGAGTCGCTAGTATATATAAGATATATACATATATATGTACTTGGCACAACTTTTAGTGACATTAAAGTAGCCTATCTCTATGCATAAATCTATCTAATTTTTAAAACGTTGCTGCGTAATACAAGCAATAACCAATAAACTAACATACTTTCGTATTAATATAAAAGCTTCGTATTTTTAAAAGCTTTTTATACTGTATTGTAGATTACTAGATTTTTCATTTAATCTAATCTAATCGATTCAGCTATCCATAGTTTTTTTAATAATATTATCAATGTGAAAAACTCTGTCTGTCTGTTTGATATTTTTTAAGATTTTACCGCTTTACCGATTTCGATGAAGTTTGGCAATGACATCTATGTCGTGTGCAGTTTTTTCGACGTACCGCTTACAAAAATTAGTTCCTTATAAATATACTTTTACTCAACTTTACTTTTGTCTATTTTTTTTAACGAAAAAATATTTTAATTATTTCTTATTTTATATAAGAATTATGTAAATTTCCATGAAAATAACAAAAAAACATAATCTTCTATTTTTCTCACTAAACCTTATTACGTATCTTTTGTTGTTTCATAAAAAATGTTGATCGCAGTAGAGGCTTTATTTTTACAATGGCATGCTATTAAAAATACATTTCCATGTCAAAGTTTTCACGAGCGAAGTAGTAGGTACGTGTCAGTTGTTTGAAAAGAGCAAAATATTTTAACTGTATCTAAAACGAAGAATATTCTTAAAAATTTTTGTATATATGAATAACATTAACCTATACATTATACAATATACATACAATAGAGGCAATGGTAGCCCAGTGGTATCGCGCTCGCTTGGGTAATCGAGTGAAGCGGGTTCAAATCCCGGATCTTGCACCTCTGATATTTTCATGTGCGATTCATTTCAACGTGATTAACACTTCTCGAAAACATCGTGAGAAAACTTGTATGTTTGAGATAACCTAAGAAGTTTTCGGACCTGTGAAGTCCACCACTTAGCCAGTGTGGTGGACTATGACCTGATCCCCCTCATATTGAAGGGAGGTCCGTGCCCAGTAGTGAGACGTTAAAAAGGGTTGAGTACAATACAATACAAATAACATATTATACATAGATAAGCATAAAAAAATACTAACCATTCCACTGCGAGTATAATATAAATATAAAGCGTCTTTTAGATTTATTTTGAAATTGATTTTTATTATTGAATTCTGAGAAAGAAATCGTAAAATAAAACTGTACTGCATTACAGTGAGCGCTACAATTTTTATCACTGACGCGGTTAGCAGTGCCGTTACTTATAGAGTAATTTTACTTCGATTTCATCGATAGATTTAATATAGATTTAAAAGCTATAATGCATTTTAAATTAAATACGTATGCTTAAATGGCCAAAATACAATTTCTCAAAAAATATAAGAGCAGTTTTAGTGTATATTATAAGAAATGAGTCGATTTTTTTGTAATAACGAAATATTTCATTATATTACACATTTATTAGTTGTTGTTAGATAACATCTAACTTAAACTGATTTTATTGGCTAATCTTGATAATGGTAAACTAGAAGATTATTTTTTATTAGGTATATGTATGTTTCATTCGTCATTTGCCTATTATTATATACCTACTGTAAATAATTATATTCATTTGGATCGTTTTATGTATATATTGTAATTTAAATTATAATTTTAGATAACTATCCGCAGCCATTTTTAATATTATACAGTTATAGAGGGATATCTCTCTTCCAAACTTCCAAGACATTTTAAATATTTTTTACTAAAAAAAAAAGAAATATTTGCTTTAGTAATACAAGTATCCTTATATATATATATATATATATATATATATATATATATATATATATATATATATATATATAATAGTATGTAGCTTTTTCTTTACATACCTTAAAAATGGAGCCACGGACAAAGACAAGTATTACGAGTATATAATAAATATCTTTACCATCATATTCTTCACGTTTCAAGAGTTTTACCTATATGTTTAAAGTTTTCGAAAGATCGTCTCCCTTTATAAAACTTTATTGTCATATCTATATACATAACCTATTATTATTTATCCAAATATACAGCATATAAGTAAGTGGTTTTACTAATATCTACGTCTATAATGCTAGTGTTTTTATATTCGCATATTTATTTCTAAATTTATATTTTCAATTATGTTTTATATACAAAAATATTATAAAAATATATTTTCTATTACATAATTAATGAATTTCATTAAATAATTTTAATTAGCTACTATTCAAAAGTATAATAATCAGCCCTATCTACATCCGCTGCAAAGAAACATTTTTGCTCAGTATTGATATAATTAAAAGTAATGTCAAATTTGTAGGAATTGAAGGAATTCTTTAGAAACTACTATTTGTTAGTTTTTTTTTAAAGTAACAATTTACTTCCCCCGCTTATAAACTACGTAAAGCCATCAAACAACTATAAATCAATCATCACATAAAAACAAAGAAATCGTAAAAGTGCCAATTTTATGAAACAATGTGAAAAGAGTACGAAAATATCTTGCACTACGGATCAAGGCTGACAAACTATATTAAACTGCTCATGCCAAGAGAGTGTAAGATATTGCGAAACATAAATTGCTATTAGTGCCTTATATAAGACTTATTTTATCCCAACCCCATTCCTTTGCGAGAAAGTTGCTTCTTAGATATATAGTAGATAATATTAGATAATATATCCCTTCTTCATTTACTACCATATAATATCGACAATTCGAGGCTTATTGTTAAGCAAAATAACATTCTATAAACATTGATAAGTAGAAATCTAAAAAAAACAATTAAATATTATGATTCTCTCATATAATTTTTTTATTTCTATTTGTTAGCGATTATAAAATGTCATCTTGGTTAGACCTGCTGCAAAGAACAACATTGTAGCTCAGTATTGAGATAATTAAATACGAAAAAAATAAACTTATAACTCTATTTAAAGTCTAATTTCAAAATTGTTATATACTAATTTGCAATGTTGTTCTATACCAGTATCGTTACGTTAGATGGTGGTATCCCCAATCTAGCTTAATCATTATCAATCTGGGACAAACATTGGTATAATCAATACAAATCAAGTGAAAGCGTCTCGATACGAACGAAAAACAACTCTCTAGATAGTCTATGGAAGAATCTTGAAGATAAACACGTCTTAACTTCTGCTATGCTTATTATCTATACTCTTCTTCTTTGTTGAAATAACAATTCGAAAGGTTTCCTGATTGTATGTATATGTATGTACGTATTTCATTAAAATATTCGAAATATTGAAAAATTCGCACTTGTAAAATAAATAGGTAAATATGTTGGGAAATTAACACACAGCACCATCTAGTTCCATGGTCAGCTACGAGGCTTGTGTTATGGATACCAGATAGACATATATAATTTTAAATACATACATATTATAAATATAAACACTCATGACTGGAGTACGTTTGTACTTCGTACTTTCGTGCTCATCACACAAACGAATGCCCTCCAGCGGGACTCGAACCCGTGACCGCTGGCACAACAAGTAGAGTCCCTACTAATTGAGCCAAACGTGTCGTCAGCCAAAATATATTAAATTCACGTGTGAATTTAATATAACATTTAAAATTGAATATAAAACACGAATACAAAAAAACTGTATCAAATACAATTTAGATAAGTGCGATTCGAGTGAAAACCGAACAATGTGAGTGATATCAGCATTGAATGTCCGCATTTCTCTAAAATTAAATTTCCCATGTCAGGCCGTCATGCCATTGTCCGTCCTACACTTTATGCAATTTCCTGTGAGCATGTTCATTGTGGTGTCTGTAGTCAGTAGTGTCAACGCATCGATGTTCACAAACACGCAGACCATTTCATCGTCTCAACGCTAATTATATTATGTAAGACATACCTAGGTGACTAATATTTTAAATCTGGTAGAATTTTCATAAAACTTTTGGCTTGACTTTGACGTTACTAAACTTAGTTTCTAAGAATCAAAAGGTCTTCAAAGAATATACCTATAAATAGAACTGTACCTAGACATTGAATTATAGACGAAATTAAAGTATTAGCTTTTGACAAATGAAATATATGAGACACATCAAATTTAATCAAAAGAGTCGAAATCTGTAGGTTTTACTAGTTTACCCATTAAAGATTTCCACTATTCACCTCCTAGCTCCAACATTAGATCATCTGAATGGTATCGATTAATGATTATTATATCAATTTTAACCGATATAAAAATTTCATAAAAGCTGATAAAAACGAACAATATCAGTTTTCAACAAAATAACAGTATATACTTACTTTATGGGTTAACATATTCTATTACAGTGTAATAATTGAAGTAATTATTTCAGGACAACGTCTCCCCCCGGAGAGCCGCTAGTTCGAGCTCCGGCGGGCAAGCCGCGATGTCCACCAGCCATATCTCGACTTCGCGTGGAGAAGGTCGAGGGTGGCCTGGCCGTGGCCGGCGTGGTGGTCGCCGCCAACTGCCAGATCATCCTCCCTATATTCGGGTTCCTGTTCATGCTGGTTGGATGCGTGCTTACTGGTAAGTTTGAATATTGAGATAATTCATTTTAATTACAGGAAATTAGAAACAGATTAGTTTCGCTATAGGTGGTAATATTACTTTTAATAAGTACTTAATGATTAATTTTAAATACCAATCAGTTATTTTTTTTTATACATTGTATTGTGGTGGCAAGCTTTTTCCATGTGCAAAATATGTGAGGAAACTTGATTGGTTTTAGGGTTACTCTTATATAATTTAAAATAAATAAAAGAAAAGCAAATAAATAAATAAAAGCTGTGGGACCACATACCTTGTAACTGAGGGTCACAAAAAATGAAACCCACATAAGCGTGTTGTCAGTGGCGTCTCTAATTAGCTTTAAACTTCAAATATGTAGATGTTTCTAAGGGTTTTTTTGTTCAAGCCAATAGTTGCAGACTTCTATTTTAAAGTCGTAAGCATCATGTCAGCATTATATTAAAATTTCATGATTCTAGGTTTAGGCTGTATGTCTGTAAATGAGTCAGTAAATAAATTTAAGATTTTTTTATTAAAAAGTGTAAAATTTGGCACCATCTAACTTAAGTTTCACTGAAATGTTCTTTAATACTAGATTTAATTACAAAAAATTACCTCAAAATGCATTAATTTATTAATTTAATTTATTAATTTAATTTATTAACATAACATATTAATATAATATATCATAAGTAAATTTAACGATTATAGCAATAGAAGCTCTTGTGAGTGACTGGTGTCTGTACTAGGTAAGAAAGAACCTGTATTACAGATCACCAGGCACTCACCTTTATTAGTAATTATAAATTTATAATATTGAATTAATGTAAACCATAATTGTATAATATAAATAACAATTATATATTATTATTCATATACCAAATTCGAAGTCTCATTAAATCCAGCTCGGGCAGCTCTACATGCGAATATTATGATAATCGAATGAACAACATCCGATCATTTAATCGAGTTTTCGAATTGCATTGTCATCGCTTGTTAACCACTTCATCAAAATTAAAATTTTGTTAATGCAGTTATTTTGTAAAAGCTTTAATTTTGCATATTTTAATTACCGTACCCGTTACGTTACCGTAATTGTATTTTGTCCTTCGGATAATTTTAAGATATATAAAGTGTTTGAACTGAAATATCGCTCAGTGATTAAATCTACGCTAAAATTATAAAGAGGAAAGATTTTTATATGTTTGTAACAAATACACTCAACAACTACCGACCGATTTAGATGAAATTTGGTAAGAAGATAGTTTGAGACCCTAGGAAGGACTAGGATAGGAATCACATTTTTGATTGACATTTTTTATTCCGGAAATCATCCCTTAAGGGGTTAAATGGGGATGAACGTTGTATGAGGAATCAAGCTATGGACGAACCAGTGCGAAGCGAGTGTGAGTCGCTAGTTTCTTAAAAAGAAAAAAAATTACGGATAATATACAGTCTTGAAATATATGCACACTTTTTTACCATACCATTTATTTTCGATGCAAATTGCTGAGATTTCCAAATTTCATTCGATTAGTGATGGCTAAATACGAGTACCTAAATGAAAATGGACAAGCGTGTTTAAGCTGTAAAATATTGAATAACAAAAGTTTTATAATAAATATCTAAAGCGCTTTGAATTCAATAAGTATTATCTACTAAACTGGAACAAAAGATAAATAAAGGAGGACACACTTTTATCTTTCATATGTTAGGTACTTTTTGCGGCTCCGCCCGCGTACACAATATACGTAGTCTACAATCACTAACAATGTACGTAATGTAATGTATTTTTTTATCGACTTTTTTAATCTATTTTTTTATTGATTGACATAAAAATAAAAAAAATAAAAATATAGTAAATTTATCATTCAAAACTATGACAAAAAAATATGTTTTTTTTATTTTGACTTGCCTCGCGGCTTTACCCGCGGTAAATGTTTGACGCAAAAATAATAATAATACTTCTCCGTACTCAAAAATAGATACATATCTAATTCCAAAATGGCGTTCAGTCAAACGGTGTAGAAATTGATGCGCTAGAGCATCATCTAGCGGTGACATATAGTGAAATGGACCATAAAGTCAAACTAAGAATCTATACAAAACTTTCGGGAATTTGTAACCTATATATACAAACAAATCTATACATATAATAAAATTGTAACTAAGTCGAATCTGTACAATAAATATTTTTTTGGAAAATCTAATTGAAATAGACATTATTATCGACACAGAGTCCGAATCTATAATTTTTAGAATTTTTGTCTGTCTGTATGTCTCTCTGTCTGTCTGTCCGTCTGTTACCGCTTCACGAGAAAACCACTGGACAGATTTTGATGAAATTGGTATGATGATAGCTGGTCATCCGGGTCAACATATAGGATACTTTTTACCGCGGGAAAATATCTCATTTCTGAGAAAAAATACAAAAACTGCATTGTAAGACTATACTAATATGTAAAACCTAAGAATTTGGTTTTTGGTCATCTTAACGCGAGCGGAGCCGCGGGCAATGCTAGTATTATATAAGGACCTAACTCTAAGACATATTTGTAAGCAATATTCATAAGTAGATTCATAAGTGTTCCATCTAGACTTTCATGTACCTACCTATACCTACCTGTTCCATATTAGATAGAATCTCTCATCGACACTCATATCGGGATTGATGCATGACGCGTACATATAAAAGCCTCATTAATCTTATATATTTCAGAAAATATGAATCTCATTTGTATTTGCAACTAAAATAGATACTCGTATCTTGCTTGAATTTCTACTGTGAATTATTTTTATATTTGTGTAGGCGCAGTGATTGCGAAACTGATCTCTATTTACGAGTTCTTTTGCTTTTACGCGTTCGATTTATCGTGATCGGAGAAATGTGTGAAAGAATCATTTTCATAATATACTTAAATAACGAGGAAGGAAAACATTGTGCGGAAACCTGCATGTCAGAGAAAACTTAGCAAGTTTTCGAAAGACCTGTGAAGTCCGCTAACCCGCATTTGTCCAGCGTGGTAGACTGTAGCCTGTTCACCCTTAAATTAAAGAGAAGCACGTGCCCAAAAGCGGGACTTTAAAAACGGCTGAATATATATAAATACATATATTATTTTTATTTATAATTTGTTCATTAAAAAAAACGATTCTAAAGGCAATTACGATAATATAATTCATGCTAAAAAATAGTTTCGCCGTAAGATCTACAGACTCCATCATTAATAGTAATACATGAATAAAATAAAATTTCAAGGATATTTCTCAAAAACGATCTTTTTTATTTACTTTGAATCATAGGAACATCTTTGGTGTTTGTTACAATTTATTATATAACTATCTCTTCATCTAACATGGCTAATACATAAACAAACTCGTTTTATTTCACCGCTATTTACACTATTGTTATATAAGAAAATTTACATTTCCGATAACCATAAGAAAGTAGTCATGACCGTGTATTTAATAAATACCAAAAGTGTCAAGAACAATGAGAGTATTGTATTGGAGATGGATTCCATACATAATTCTACCTTTTCTTGTTTAAACAAAAGATCACTCAAAGGTACAGAATGCTATACCGTTGTATTTGCAGGTTTTATCTTTCCTTAATAGAAGTATTATGTCAATATTGCGTATTTACATCTTATGAGGATTTACATGTAAAGAATATGATGGGTATTTATTTCTTCAAGTGTCGATGCTTGATAATCGATTTCTTGTGGAGTCCGATTAATTATAAATGTTAGAATTTAAAGAATCGCTATCGTACGCTACAATTTACTCGATGCTCGACTACTTGTCGAGTTCATCCAGTTTCTAACTGCAGGTTTGAAATGGATATTTAATTCACCACCTCTTACGAATGGAAACGCGAATTATACGTGGTACATTGAACTATGAAAATGTTAGATGAACTTAGGGAACCTAGTAACATATTAGTTACTACTAGTGTTACCAGACTAAAAACGTCAGGAATCGAACCCGCTTTTTCCGTCGTTTTAATCAAGAGAAATAAAACAATAACTGTTTATAAAATATAAAAAAATCTCTTCAAATATAAAAAACCCTCTCTCTTCTCTCTCACAAAGACCGTCTCTATACATATAATCAGACTATTAAATATAATTTTATAGTTATTAATATAAACAATTATTTTGTATCTACATAAAGTTCTTATCTATTTAATCATAATATCTAAGAGGATAATAATTTAATCTCCATGTTTGTTCATTACAGCGGCGTCGTATCGCGGTTGCGGTGAGAACGAGGAGCCCGACCACTATGCCGCACGGATCGCGTTCACGGGCAACTCGCGTGTCCTTGGTCCTGTTTGTATCGTCGCTGGTGCCCTTATGACTATCGCTGGTAAGATATTTTTGTTGCATTAACTTGTTACTCCTCACATTTCACTAGAAACTTCGAAGGTACAGTTTTTAGTAAAATACTAGCGGCTCACCCTCGCTTCGCTCGGGTTTGTCGCCAGATACGTTTTAAATATTTTTTGTTAATAATATTGAAAAATATTGACATTAATATTTATACGATACTAACGTCACTCAATTGTTTACCTTCCCGGAACCTCTCCACTAACACTTAAACTTTATGGTATGGTATTAAAGTTCAAATTGACTTTTAAGTATTATTACGAATCTTTTGTATGGGAGTATAGAAAAGTGTTGTTTTTAGACTTTTTCAGGCAATTTTTTTAATTTTTCTGTCCGTAAAAACCATCCTCGTACTTCAAGGAATACTAAAAAAAGGAATAAGCGCTTACCAACGCATTCAGCGATTCATTTTTATATTATAGATAGATGTGAGGAATTAGCTTTTCTCGGATGCTTCCTTAGGTGCCTACCAGTTACACTTTCTCAATCGTAACAGTAGTAAAATATTAAAATAATCAGTGACCATCTATTTCAAAAAAAAGGAGATACTCAATTCGTCTGTATTTTTATATGTTATGCGATCTTCTTGATTGTATCTTCAGTTCTCAATCCTCATCAAGATCTCAATGGTAACCTATACAGATAAATAACTATTGGGGTTTAAATCTTAGAAGAAAAATACAATTTTAAAAATGTCTGCCTGTCTGCCTGTCTGTCTGTTTGTTCCGGCTAATCTCCGAAAGGGCTAGACTGATTTTGACGGGACTTTCACTGGCAAATAGCTGATATTTTTAAGGAGTAAATTAGTACTATAATTCTTGAAAAATAATTAGGGTTCTACTGAAAAAAAAAACAAACATACCTATAGACGCACGTGAGCGAAGCAAGGGTGTCGTTTGTCCTGTATAAATTTATAAATAAACTCCTTCCCAAAAGATGGAATAATTACTTTTTAAGTAACTTCAAAATCAGTGTAATGTTTTATTAAAAAGTACTAGCATTGCCCGCGGCTCCGCCCACGTTCAGATAACCAAAAACCAAATTCTTAGGTTTTACATATTAGTATATTCTTACACTGCACTTTTTGTATTTTTTCTCAGAAATGAGACATTTTCCTGCGGTAAAAAGTATCCTATATGTAGACCCGGATAACCAGCTAACACCATACCAAATTTCATCAAAATCCCTCCAGTGGTTTTTCTGTGATGCGGTAACAGACAGACAGAAAAAAATTCTAAAAACTATAGATTTCGGCCTCTGTATCGATAATAATGTCTATTTCAATAAGACTTTCCAAAAAATATTTAATGTACAGAATCGATTTAGTTAGAATTTTATTATATGTATAGATTTCTTATTCACAATCATATCCTTCGCACTATGTCCCTTATTTCCAAGAATAATCACATTTATACCGTCTTAAAATTACGCGTACAGTTCCAAGAAAGTTTAAACCATCAATTTTAAAGTATAATAGAATGTCTTCACTACGAGTAAATAACAATCTTATACGCCTTGGCATCAGCTTACACGAGATAAAAGAAATATGCATAAATGACTTTCACGAACTACTTGAGTTTTATGTAAGAAAATCGCGACTAAATTATAGATATTGTTGTTGAAAATTAAATAATATAAACATTTAGTTCGATGATATTCATCATCTAGATCAGAAATTCTCAGACTTTTTTTTCTCATAAACGACTTTTAAAATTTAGCTGGTTCCGGTGGACCCCCTGCAGCTTTTTAACCATACATTTCTACCATATTCCCAAAATTCAACAAAAAAAATGTGAAGATTCCGTCCGCTGTAAGCCCCCGTCAAGTCTCCCATGGACCCTTGGGGGTTCACCTAGACCAATTTGGGAACTAAGGATCTAGATTATACTATTGTATAAGATTAAAAAATTGTTTAGAACCAAAATTTCACTATATTTATTGCCCTACTTCCTTAACACTCTTATTTGCTCTTATTATCGCAGTTATACAATTATTTTTGAAACGTAGTTTTTTCGGCAAGAAATATGTTTAGACTTAATTCTCCTTCAATATCAATATTTAAATTATATCTTTTAATTTCATATCTCGTTTACACTATTTTGTTTATTACTCACCTTCACCGTTATTACTCATTATTTTACTAATATTATGAACGTGAAAGTTTTTGAAAGTAACTGTATGTGTGTTACTCTTTCACACAAAAACTACTGAACTGATTTACATTAAACTTTACAGTAATATGGCTTGATGATGTTCTCCTGACCGATTCCGGCCACGACGGCCAATCTCATTAAGACTAGCCAACTGCGCAGGAGATATTATAGTGCACAAGCGTACGCGCAGACACAAGTGCACTCTCGACACGACCAGTGAGAGTTAAGGCGCAGGACCGACGGCTTTACGTGCTCTCCGAGGCACAGGGGTGAAACACCGCCAACTTCCCAACTCCGGGCTGTTACTGAGGCTTACTATACAGAAATACTCAATAACTAAACTTGACCCGACCCGGGACTCGGACCCAGGACTTCCGGGTGTGCAGCCGCACATGCTAGCCACTACACCACCGAGGCAGTTGTTCCAATATGGCTTATACATCAGAATACCATATAGGTTATAATTTATAAAGATATCGTAATATTTAATTGAACTACGCGGACCTTAATATTGTATAAGTATGAGTACGTAATAGATACGGAAATAGCTGAGTCGATCTTTACCGATGACGATAACTTTAGTAGTTAAGTGATGAAATTTTCGTCGAGGTGTAATAAATTGAAAATTTCCTCTGCCCTAATGCTGTGAGTTTCGCATGGAGTTTAACCTTATATATGTACTTAAAACTTATGATGCTAAATTTAAAATTAACAACAACTATAATAAAGTCGGCCTAATGCGTGGAACTTATTATGTATGCCACTGTACGAGTATGTACAACTGTAAATGAGTATGTATAACATTCGAGTGTAATACAATTGTGAAAGGTTATCAATTTGTTATAGTTTGGTACACATATAACAATAATTCTCTTAATTAGGTCGCGATAAGAATGTATTTAATCATAATGAGTAAGCATTTTCTATTAAACTTTATACCTTAATATAGTTTAAATTTTATATAAAAACAACTGACTTATTTAAAACAGGCAAACGGAAGCATACTTATGACACTTACTAGGTTCTTCTGAGTATCACAGAATCCCTGTATGTGAATTTTAATATAACGTGCTTTCTCGTGAGTTGGATATATTTTTACATAGTAAAAAGTAGCTTATATCAATTTCCAAAACTCCACTATCTCTATATAAAAAGGCTGAGCCTATTAATACAGTAACTGTACGAATAATTTATTATTACTTTTTATTACTATATAGTCCGACTGATATTATTTTTATTAGTTTGCCTATATTGATTAAAAAAAAAATATAATTTATATTTCTACTTAACAATGAGGAAAAGAGAGAGAGTATGGACCTTTACAAATCTAGGACCGCCATTTTTAATTTATAACTTTTGAAAGAGACACAAAATGTGTATATTTATCTTGTTCTTATTTTTTCAAAAATTGGAGCGTATCCTCAAAAATTACATTTGACGCTTCCAATTCTTCTGATACTGTTCAAGGCCTATAATTTTCGAATCAAAACTGTCACCAAATCTTAAATAACAAAAAGTAATTATGATATTGGGGATTCTGGGTTTGAAATAAAAAACCTTACCTACTCAACCAACGTTATCCAAGTCAGGTCTGTCACTTAATCAAAAATTAAAACTTATATAAATATATATAAAATATAATCCTTTATATATTTAAATATAAATAATCCATACTAATATAATAAACGTGTAAGTGTGTTTGTTTGTTTGTCTTTCTTTCATGTCGAAACGGAGTGACGGATTGACTCGATTTTTTGTGTGGAGATAGTTAGAGGGCTGGAGAGTGACATAGACTACTTTTTAAAGCGGTAGATTATTTAATTCCCACGGGAAAATACGTTATAATACAATCCAAACAAATATTTAAGTACAGAATTACTTGAAACTTGATATTAATGCTCTTCAGTGAAATTAAATAAATACGTGTTTTAGCATTTTTCGAAATTCATCCTATAAGGGGGTAAAATAGGGGATGAAATTTTGTATGAAACCTACCTATTTAGAGTTTTTTTTGTGTTTTAGCGCGAGCGAAGCCGCAGGTTCTACTAGTATTATATAAATACAAATAAAATATAATTTTTTATCGAGATACTCTAAATTAAAAAAAACAGTAACTGGATTAATAGTCACTTATATTCAAAAAAAAATCATATCAATCCATCGTCCCGTTTTAGTGCGAAAGAAGAATAAACAAAACAAACAAATGAATAAACAACCATACGAACACACATTTATAATATTAATAAACAGCGGTGAACCTTCATTCACATTAAACTGTTTACAATAAGTTATTTTTCCACTGACCTTCCTGTACTGTACTGAGATGTAAAGTATTATTACTCCAGACAATAAACAATTTAAAAAATTTCGTCATTACTTTTCTCGAAATAGTACCTACAAACACAAATGGATAAAAACAGTACACACACGCATTTATATTTGTAACTACTTGTTTTCAAGCGGCTCTCCGGTGGGTGTTAGGGCTGAGTTCGTCAATAAAAATAGATTGTGTTTATCAAGGATAAAAACTACGAGTCTGGCTTAGTTACGGTATCTGTTGTTCTTAGATTGGATTTTCGCTTTAGGGAATATTTCTATATTACATATTATGCAAAATTTTGAATCTATTTAAATGCTTGCTGTCCATAGAGATAATACGCTTGACTCGATTTTCGTTTTGGGAAATATTTACACATATTTTACATTTGCACAGTTGCTTTATAAATAAGTTATCATTTTATGACACTTTCTTAGATTTACACGAATACCTATTTGAAATTTTAAATACATATATATTTTTTTATTCGTAACTTTGGGAGCTAAAAATCAAAATGAAACCGCGAAGAAATGCAGAAAAATGGTTTTATTTATCACCCTTCATTGCTATCATTTCTAAGATTTTGATTTATTTAATTCAATTACATTTATTATTACAGGTATCGTGTTATGTATGTTAATGCGCGCTGCACAACGCCGCCAACGCAGACTGGCTTTCCACTGCCCCATTCATGGCGACTTTTACCCGCTTAGTCCGCAGAACAGCAGAAAATACTCACGTAAGTATATAACTTATTTACATACTCGACCTAAAATTTATGTATTCACTCGATACGAAAATTACATTTTCAGACATTTTTTTTAAAGAACCAAAGCTGTGATTTGTCGACTAAGTTCACAAGAAGGTAATCAGCAGCAGTGAAAACTTATACGGCTGTTAAACGTGTTTTTACTATTTTATAAAATAGACATTGCTAAATTAAAAAAGAAAATGTCATATATAAAAATAAACAATAAAAAAGCTAAATAAAATATTCTATAAAAAAATATATATGAAACAAAAAAGTTAACAGGACTTGAAACTCTTTCTCAAATTGCTCAATTGTCTGATTAAAAACATATCTTATTTATTAAATATATTTAAAAAGATTCTTAAAATATGTAAATTACAATTAATTATTACATTGTAACAATACTAAATATACCTACTATTGCTCCAGGTAGCCCAACAGGGCTGTATCGTTTTCTGCGAGGCTGGCTGGGCATGGCAGAGGAGGGAGAGACACCGAGATGCCCACGGTCAGCAGAGCCCGCCTCGCCGGCGCGAGCCGACGCGCCGTGCCCGCCACCCTTACCTTTCTTAGTACCTAGCGATTCAGTTGTGTAAGTACCACTGAATTTATATATTATACAAATGCATGTAAAGCTGTCGATTCTGAGTCTGATCCCTCACATCGGAATTTTAAGAGAAAGGAATGGAGAGTGTAAAAAAAAAGTGTAAGAGTAATTTCGTGCATATTTTTAAACTATAATGCCTCCTGTGATGGTTAGTGTCAATGAGATTGACCGATATATATAAAGTATTGTAAGCTTTAACTTTGCACTTTTTGATACATTCATGGTATAAAAATGGTGAAGTATGGATAAGGTATTAAGTTATTACTATTGTAAAAAGACGCGCCGTGTTTAATAAGAATCTGAGCGATACAAGGACGGGTGACCTACGAAAAATACTACAACATTTTCATCATACAAATTTACAATTACAAACAAACATTACAATTAAAATTCATTACAAGTTGCTTTACGTTAGTTACTTACATTATTGACTTTCATTACAGAGGCATGGCGTCAGTACTCGGAGCGCCTTTAAGTCCTGAACAGACTTTCGGGTCTATAAAATCGCTGGCGATATCTCGAGAGGTCGCTAGCTTCCCGCTATCTAGGTCACCTACACCGCCTCCGTTAAGGTAATATTCATAGTAATTTAATTTTTTATTGCCCATAAACGAAACTTAATTAAATATGAAAAAACGTTTCCCCTACAATGAAAAATCTAAAATTATAATATAATAGCCTTTTTACTGCCTCGATAGTGTAGTCGCTAGCATGTACGGCTGCTCACTCGGAAGTCCTGGGTTCGAGTCCCGGGTCTGGCCAAGTTTAGTTATTGAGTCTTTCTGTAGCCTCAGTAACAGCCCGGAGTTGGGAAGTTGGCGGTGTTTCACCCCCGTGCCTCGGAGAGAACGTAAAGCTGTCGGTCCTGCGCCGACACTCTCACTGGTCGTGTCGAGCAGTCGTCCCACCGGAGTATGAGAGTGACAGGAATAGAGAGTGCACTTGTGTCTGCGCGTACACTTGTGCACTATAATATCTCCTGCGCAGTTGGTTCGTCTCAATAAGATTGGCCGCCGTAGCCGTAATCGGCTAGGTGAACATCAATAGCCTTTTTTAATTGGGAATATCCATTTCACTGTTAAAATCGTATTTACTATATTTTATTAGATCAATTACCTTATAGCTTAAAAAGAAGAAAGAATTTCATTTATTTTCAATTTTAGAACGCGATTTGTGCAAAAAAAAATATGCAGATACCGTTGAGGTATTATATACTGTTTATTTCGGTATAGTTAGGTACCTATAATGTATTATAGTTCAATGGTAGGCACAAAATTGTTCTCATATATTATCGTAATTTTGTGAAACAAAATAAATAAAAAAGTAGATTATATAGTTATTATTACTTGTACATTTTATCCGTATAAAAGTAACTAAGATTTTTGTTTACATTTCTTCATCATTTATAAAAATAAATTTAAAAATATAATAAACACCAATAAATATTATCTATGGTATTCTTACCCTAGTGATAAAGAGATGACAGGATTACTTTGTACACAATATTGATATATAGGGAAAGCTTTTAAAGATATGTTTTTTATATTAACCCATATACTTATTAGTTAGGATTGTAACTGAGTGTTAGCGACATAGGTCAGCGCAATTGTATGTTTGTCTATTGAAATAAGGAATGCTGCCAGCGTGTTGAAAACTCTCCCCGTTTTGGGATATATAACAATAATAATAATTATTATTAATATACATATAAAATCATAGAAAGTACAATTGAAAAATAGCTAAAGTTTTTTAAAAACATCTTAATTATATAAAAAAACGCGTGTGTGTACTTATGTACGCACGTAAAAAGTTTTACTTCTTTGGCGTAACAGAACAAAAATAGCTAAACATTTCATCCCGTATGTCACAACTCTCTGTTTGTAAAAGGAATGCAACTAACTTTATCATGTCGCCTTAAGCTAACTTTATGATGTCGCTTTTCATCATAAAAATTTTACCTTCATATTTTTTTCCAAACGTGCCAAGAGAAGTATAACTTAAAAAATCGTACGTAACCAAATTAGATATTATTATAGTTTTACTGAAAACAAAATTTGTTTTGAAATAAAATTTAATAAGCTTAATCTTTTAATTTCAGTTATCCATCGTTTAAAGACGAGTCAAAGATCATCGAGAATATTCCGAACGCCGTTCCACACTCAGACTTTGACTGTGGGACAGTAAACTACCGAGTAGTAGAATGTAAGCTCACGACTACAGATGAAATAAAAACACACAGTGCTCCACGTCATAGTGTACATACAGATAATAAATATAGAGACAACAAATACTCAGACAATACGCAGAAACAGAGACCTGCCACAGTGTGCATCGTTATACCGGACGGCAAAGGATAATAGTTGATGAAAGTGTTCAAGTTTTGGCAAATGATTGTTTCTTAAGAGTTATTAGTGTATAGACGACAATTTTATTTATAGTCGTCCAAAGAGACCATTCCATGGATGTGTGGTTTATTTTTTTTATCTACAGCTATTTTGAATCTGCTCAATCACGTTGGTCTTCCGCTATCGCTTCTGAATTCAAAATTGATGGAACAAATGCACTATTGATAGTAGTATGGTTTTTGACGATGCATTTATCTCTAAGCTTTTTGATGCACTTCTGATTTACATAGAATACACAAAATTTGATCGTTCGATTAAAAGTATTTAATCGATAATCTTTATAGTAACTTATCTAAACACAATTTTGCAGTCCCAACCCTTATATTATGAACTTTATAAGATTGATGTGCAAGAAATAGTTACATGTTATATTTCTTATAAATTGTCTGTAATGGCTCATACTATGATATTTGTCAAAAGAACACATCATTATTGTCCACCACTTCAACATTCTTACGTCAAAATATTTAATAGCTTCTAACATACTTTGTAATATTTTTATTTGTTAGTCACCACGTCTGAGTAGATTGTAATAAAGCATTTCTTCTACTAACTGGATTGAAATTTGCTCAGGATTCACTTAATGCCGCTATCGGAACACATAGACTGGCAATGATAAATGAATATTCATGAGGTATATAAGTCATAAAATTAATGTGTTTTTTTCTAGAATAATCGCTGTTTATTTAATGTTGTCAGTCTAGTCTGTGGCGCCTAATTTTGTGGTTAGAACACTTTTCTAGTAAATGGTCTCGTACGATTTTTGGCTCAGTAGAATAATATTGTTCCTAATTTAAATGTATGTACTTTATTCATTTAGCTTATCATTTAAAAAGTAAAACGGTGTTGCTAGATGTAGGTCTACCAAAGAAAGAAAATTCAAAAAATAATAATATTTGCTCACTAAAATATTATAATTAACAATAAACTACCATTTTTTTATTGAGAAGGTGTTTTTTTTTTACTTAGATAGGCCCATCCTTCAAGCAACACTTAACAACAAACAATATAATAAATATAATATTCATCCTATTGTAAAATTAGTAATGACATGTTTAGATATAGACCCGAATTGTGATATTTTGTTTATATTGTTTATAGTCTATGGAATGTTTAATTTGACAGTAAAAATTAACCTGTTTTTCTCATTTCATTTGGGGAAGGAGCCAAAAGTGTTGCCAAACTGAATTATTCACGTCCATGAGTACATTTTTGTATCCTTTACTAGGGATGGGCGATTACATATGATTTCAAAACATAAATCCAAATCGATGACTAAGAAAATATCAATATTTTGTTACTCAATTGTATTACAACAGAACATGATTCGCAATAATAGATAAGTTCGCCGCATTCATCGATATCATAAAATCATTTGTAAAGCCCATCTCTACTTTTATTCAATAAAAACGTGCTCACAAAAGACAATGTTAAGAATGTGTGTAGCTGTAGGTGCGTAATCATAGATACCTAGGCTAGTTATTTAAACAATTTCGTTTTGTGATGATGGCATTTATTGGCCGTGTTATTGGAGATTAAGGTAATTTTTTATGATAAATAGTTAAGTGCCACGCCTAAGTAATCATATTATATATATAGATAAGCTTATTTAATATTGATAATGTTGTAAGAAAGTGAAAATACAAATTTGGTTAAAAAATTAGTTTATGATTTATATTCCTTTATTACTTACCTACTAGCAGAACCAAAACTACAATAAAACACTAGATAGGTAGGTTTCATACAAAATTTAATCCTCTATTTTACCCCCTTATAGGATGAATTTCGGAAAATGCTAAAATAAGTCTTTATTTAATTGTATTGAAGAGCATTAATTCTAAATTTCAAGTGATTTTGATCATAAATATTTATTTGGGTTGTATTATAACATGTTTTCCTTTGGGAATGATATAATCTGGCGAGATAAAAAGTAGCCTATGTCAATCTTCAGCCCTCTAACTATCTTCATACAAAAAATCACGCCAAACCGTCACTCTATTTTGACGTGAAAGAAGGACAAACAAATAAACAAACACACTTTCACATTTATAACATTAGTATAGATATATAATAACATCAATGTAACTATCAAATTGAGTGATCGATATTATCGAGCAGATCTCCTTATGAAACTAGAGGGTGGATATTGGTACTTTTGGTTTTTAGTTAGGTTTTATACCTAAGCCTTCGCAATTTTTTTCATTATATTCATTTAGAGGATTCCCGTACATTATAACTTGTTGAAAGTATGCTTTTTTTATTTTTAAAAATATTATTATCTACCAAGAAATTCTTAGTTGCTTATACGCCTATCATGGAATTACAGTACAATAAAAACATTAAACCGACTATCAAATACTTAAACTTAAAAAAATAAAAATCGATTTCTATTAACTAAAAAGTTAAAAAATATAGTTATTTATGAAATCGATGCCAGTCGATGAAAAGTAAAGCAAATCTATTTTGATATGCAAGTCACCTACCGATCTCCACGTCTAGCCAATTTTAGTCCCAGTAGTTTATGTCCCAGTAAGAAATGCATTGTAAAACCGTAACCTGAGACACAGGTTTTTAACATAGTTCAGGTAGGTTCCAAATTAAATATCGGAGCTACTCTATCTGCTAATCATTTATATTATGTAAGCTATATGAATAAAATTATTATTATTATTATATTATTATAGTTTTTATTTTGCTACTGGCTCTCTGGCCTATCCTGACGTCATATGAGCCCAGTAACAATGCCCATGACCCAATCTCTTACGTGTCTTCTCCATTCTACGTGACATTGGCGAAGTAATCTGTGCTCAACTGGCACGCTTTGAAGCCGTAAACAAGAAAATTGAATTGAATTGAAAATCCATGACATCGACACTGTTAATCAACTACTGGTATCCAGATCTAGTCGATTTTTAGTTTATATTTTGTCGCTGGGTCCCTGGTGTGTGCTGATGTCATTTACGACCAGCAACAAAATCTATGACATCATCTTGCCAATAAAACTACGTATTAAGACAGCTTAGACTAGTACTCAGTTATCGGTCTCCAGGTCTAGGCGATTCCAGGGACTTTTTTTTATTTTTCTTACACTGTTTTTCAGGAACAAAATCTGACATATAATTCCACTAAATTCTTGCCGATCCCGTTATTTATAATCACATTATTTGTTTTAAAAGAAAGTAGTTTATTCTTTGCATAAACACTCCGAGAACATTTGAAGATATGGAGGGATATATACAATATAATAAATAATATAATATAATAAATATAAATATGTTGAGACATTAACACACAGCGCCATCTAGTTCCATGGTAAGCTACGAGGCCTGTGTTATGGATACCAGATAGTTGATACACTACACAGAGTATAACTTTAAACACAAATATAATATAAATATAAACACCTATAACTGGAGTAAAAACATTCATGTTCATTTCACAAATGTATGTCTCCAGCAGGACTCAAACCCGCGACCTCTGGCACAACAAATAGAGTCACTACAAACTGAGCCAAAAGTGTCAGAATACATTATTATTTGTATGAAAATGCCATCACAAATGTTTTCAAATGCTTGTAATCGCAAAAACATAAGTTGTTTGTGCTGGCTTATATATACGAAGGTATAATTAATGAAAACCAACGTGGAAGCTAGTAAATACCGCTCAAATCAACATCTCGTTAAGTTTTTTTAAGACGTCAAGACGTAAGAAGAGTTATTTTTTTAAGACTTCGTGTCATCCAAGCCCCTCGATGATACTTCGCCATAGCTCTCTAGACCTATTATTTTTACCTGAAAGAGTGATATGTGAAAAGATGTAAAATTAGCAAAAAGTAACATACGAATGATGAAAAATAACGAACGATGACATCTATATTGAACATTTTAGACTGTCACTTATAGATTTGACTTCCATAAGCTAAGATGACAAGAAATATAATTATTTCGCTGCTTGCATTTACTCTTTAAGAAAAGGTAGAGTATAAAGTAAAGCATTACCTCTCTCTCTCTCTCTCTCTCTCTCTCTCTCGATAAGTATACATACATATTTTTCGAATACCCTTTTTAACGGCCTACTACAGGGCACAGGCCTGCCTTTAATACGAGGGGGATCAGGCTACAGTTCACCACGCTGGCCAAGTGCAGCTTGGCGGACTTCACATATCATTCGAAAACTTGCTAGATTCCCTTAGACTTGATAAAACTCACGTTGTTTTCCTTCTCCGTAAGACAAGTGATAATCATGTTGGAAATGATTTGCACATAGAAATGTCAGAGGTGCGAGCCCTGGGATATGAACCTCGTTCATTCGGTTTCCCAAAGGAGCGCACAAGGATATATATAAAATAGGAATAGCAAAAAAAAACTGAAATTACAAGAAAATAATTATTATGATTTCTATTAAATCATTGTTATTATGCGCCATTAGATTCTCTACGTGCGCCAGCATAAGTAATTACGCCTTCTAATTCAAATTGTTTGTTCACCAGTAAAGCAAATGTGAACTTGCCAAAATAACCGTAATGATCCCACTCATCCATACATAGATAATAGAATAATGTTTTATTGTTATGAATTTCTAAAATAGTATGATTGAGATGGGAATACCTATATATGCTACGTACACAACATGTAATGTTGTTCACTGTCTAATAAAATAAACAAATTTTATCGTTTTAGCATGCGTAAGTTTGGATTTTTGAAGTTGAAGTTTTAAAGTAGAAAAGAATATTTATTTTTTTAATTTTTGAGATATGAAATGAAATATTTGTTAGCTCCGAGCATTTTATTATTTTTATATTCTTACCTTTCTACCACCTTTATGGTGTTATTAAAAATAATTATTTTTTCCTTCATCGAACTCATTAACACCTCCAGGTAAATTTCTAAGAAATTAATTAAAATTCTAAGATATCTATTGTTAACTGACAAGTGACACGCCGGCGTGTC